ACAGTGACCTGGGTGATTGCTGATTGGTCAGTGGGCGCGCGAAATTTGTCTATACGTCTACGAACATTTGTACACCCAGGTACACCACTCTGGCCTATCGTGCGCCCGAGATGGTCGATCTCTACACAGACGGCGGACAACCCTTGGGCACACCTGTCGATATTTGGGCCCTCGGTTGCCTTACCTACGGCGTCTGCTTTTTCTCCCTGCCCTTTGGCTCGAGCACACTGGCAATCCAGACTGGCCAATACACCACACCCGATTCCTGCTCCTACTCCACTAAACTACTTAAACTCATCAGTAAGTAGTGTGTACTGGAAAAATCCCTTTTTAACCACGTGATTGGTGGGCTAAGCGGCGCGTTCTGATTGGTGGAAGTACCTTCACTGTGATTGGGTAGTTTGAGTGACCGGAGCTTGGTGCTGTTGTGTACGGCAGCTGATTCGCCACTTGGTTATTTTAGGTTTTCAGTTATTTACGTGTAAATAAAAATCTGTTCACGTAAAAAAACAACCACATTTATACGCAAGCATACACATATGACTGCAACACATCAAGATCCAACTCTGCATGTACGAGTGCTTGCTTCGCTGTTCAACTTAGGCTAAATCGCAAGGGGGATAATCTTGAATTGAAAAAAACCTTCTACTGCCGAAATACTTAGTACACAAATTAGCGAAAATTATTTTCCTTTGATTTTTTGCGCAGATATTTCGAGTGTCACGCAATTAACCTGCATTCTGAAAAAAGAATTTAGCCTGATAAACAATTTGTGGTTCTCAAGCACACAATTTCGTGCAATTAAGAAAATTTATCAGAGTTTGATAAAGGAGTCAAGAGAATATGCATGATACGTGTGGGCTCCACACTAATCGAGGAAATAGGGTGACTCTCTTGATTCAGAAAAGCACCAGGTCCAAAGGTTTCTATTTCCTGCAGCGGTTGTAGGTCATCCTGGACAATTTACCATGCAGATGAGGTCACGCTCAGCTGCCATCACCCAACCATCCAAACAAAGTTGGTCATTCACTCACGATCGGAAATATGTGCATTGAAGTCAACTGAGCCCGTGTGTGCATTTGGGCCACTGAAGTGTCAGATGGCTTGGATGACCAATTAGCAAGCAACCTTTAGGCTGTGCGATGGTTCCTCGCATGTCCACGGACCAGTCAACATCACACAGGCTGTGATTTGCAGTCGTTCGTGTGCACTGACACTTTAAGACACTGCCCACAATCGCCAATCAAATTTCGACAGTCGTGAGTAACTCCTTCATTGTGTCCTGACGAATGCTTCGTTGTGGGACGTCTGCAGTCATGTTTAGCTAAGGCTTCAGAGTAGCCAAGTCCGCCATGTCATCGGACCTGTTTGCTGATTCGTGGAGAACACTCACTCGAGGTGCGACCACTTGCCATCTCTGGAAGGGTCGAGTGCTCCACGCCTTGGTCAATGGTAAATGCGCTTTCTTCTGCCAACCAGAGCAACCACGGCACCCCTGACTAGAATGCCAACAAAGCTAATTGAGTCAGAACTTCACACACACTTGCACACAAATCCACCCAATCACACGAGTCTCTGTGCAAACGGACTGGGAGGTAGGCAGAAGTGCAGTGCCAAATGCCACCGCCCTCACTCCCATTTGTGACTCATCGCTTAACTCGCCATTTTGCCACGGCAATGTTGTGGTTGCGGAGCCAGCACCCAATTTACTGTTACCTCTGTCAACCACTTCAGACTACATGCTGACGATCCCCATCTCCAAACGACCGGACATTCACCAGGTCGCTGCTCTCACCTTCTCCCTCCTCGACCGACCGAATCCCGTCCCCAACGTTAATGTAAGCAGACTTCTCTCCGCTAACCAATGGTTTGACATTTGCGCTGAAGTTTGATTGGTAGAAATACTCTACTCTGGTCTCCTATTGTTCGAGCACGCCCGCCTTTGCCAGCCATCCCGGTTTATGTTGAGTTTTGACTAGAAAACCAAACGGACCTGTCGCAAAGACTATTTGAAGTGATCTAGGATTTTTCACGTTACTGACTTTAGATGTAGATCATTTCACATCCGCTGCACCAACTCTTATTGGTCGGTTAGAAACCAATGAGAGGCCAGAAGCTTGAGTGACGATAAGTACCACTGAAAGATACCGATTGGCAATCAATGGGTCACATTAGGTCCATAGGTCACATCAGTTATGAACTATCTGAATGAATAGCCAACGTAACTTGCTTAAAGATAAAATACAATTGAGAAGCTCCCTTGCTCTCGACCAATGAGGGATGAGGGTGGTCGTTTTGCCGACTGTAAATAGCACAGATGAGACCTTACGTGGGAAGGAGATTTGGAGGGCTCCTGGGAGGAGCGCTGCACACTGGGCGGTTTTGCAAGCGCTGGAACGACGCCCGTGGAATCGCGTCCACACGTCTGCGAGGCCCGTGGACGCTGCCGAGCGATGCACGGCGATGTGGTCGTGGTGTGGTGCTGTGGGGCTTCTGAAACAGCGGCCTGAGGGGGGCTCGCCAGACCCACCGATTTTGCTGCCGAGGAGACGCTGGTAAAGACAAAACAGCCACATTGTGGACTCGAATATGCAAGTCTTTAGACGTTTATATTTATTTTACGAATGAGAAAGTCAAAACTACTACTTAAACCAGTTCAGCAACTTATCCGATGCAATGTCAACAGGAACTGGTGTGTGTCAACTTAGCCTAATCCAGATGCAAATATAAGGGTATGTAAGAGAGAAATGGCAATAATGATTTGTGGGAAGGTGGTGGCGTAAAGGAGACCCACCTAGTTCCCTCGGCCGCGGTGTGTCGAGCTGTTGGCGCAGTGCGGTCGGACTCGGAGCGAGGCAGTGGCAGATCCAGCCAATCAGGCACGTCTGACGACTGGGTTAGCAAACACACGCATAGAGAATCATGAAAACAGGAGTTCAGACATGTGGTGATACTTTAAAGCTACATGCATTACGGCCTTACAAAATAGGGTCAACATTTTAAAACACCAGTTACGTTACCTAATCTTCTTAGTGATTGCAAATCGATGGCTCGCATTAGTACCCATCGTCACTCAAGCTTCTGGCCCCTCATTGGTTTCTAACCAACCAATAAGAGTTGGTGCAGCGGATTTGGTACGATCTACATCCGGAGTCAGTAACGTGAAAAACACCTAGATCACTTCAAATGGTCTTTGAGACAGGTCCGTTTGGTTGTCTAGTCAATACTCGACACAAACCGGGATGGCTGACAAAGGCGGGCGTGCTCGACCAATAGGAGAACAGAGTAGAATATTTCCACCAATCAAACTTCAGCGCAAATGTCAAACCATTGGTTAGTGGAGAGAAATCTGCTTACATTAACGTTGGGGACGGGATTCGGTCGGTCGAGGAGGGAGAAGGTGAGAGCAGCGACCTGGTGAATGTCCGGTCGTTTGGAGATGGGGATCGTCAGCATGTAGTCTGAAGTGGTTGACAGAGGTAACAGTAAATTGGGTGCTGGCTCCGCAACCACAACATTGCCGTGGCAAAATGGCGAGTTAAGCGATGAGTCACAAATGGGAGTGAGGGCGGTGGCATTTGGCACTGCACTTTTGCCTACCTCCCAGTCCGTTCGCATG